ACGGAATCACCCGTTCCATAACTGGAATATCCCAACGGGGCTGAAAAAGGGTGCAAGAAAAAGAATGGACGAGAAAATGTTCTGCCCTACAGACATGTGTAACTCCGCCTAAAGTCCCTCCGAGGGCATGTGGTTAGCGTCCCCATCCCGTAGAAAACTAACTCGCTAAAAAACGCTAACCAGAAAAAATTATTCAAATCTTTTAAGCTATGCCCTGGGAGTCAGAAGGTATTCATTTAGAAGAATTATGACGCCTCATGATGAAAGCCGAATGCCTTCGGAAGTTACGAGGCCGATGCTCCTTCTGACAACCAGAGCGACCATTTATTTAGGTACATGGAATGTTCGTACAACGTGAGACACCACCGGGAGAGCCTTCCAAATTGCTGCAGAAATGAGAAGATACAACCTAGAAGTACTTGGGATCGGTGAAACACATTGGACACAAGTTGGACAACAACGACTAACTACAGAAGAGCTCCTGTTATCCTCCGGCCATGAAGAAGAAAATGCCTCACATACACAAGGAGTTGCATTGATGCTGTCCAAACAAGCGCAAAATGCGCTTATATGATGGGAATCTCATGGACCAAGGATCATCAAAGCCTCGTTCAAAACAAAAAAAGAGGGCATTTCAATGAACATCATCCAATGCTATGCGCCTACCAACGACTACAATGAAGACGCTAAAGATCAATCACTCATGAAACTGAGGATATTGTCGACTTAAATATTCTTACACCGTTAGTAAACAGCGATCACGCTGTTTTGTCATTCGCGTTTAGAACTAGGGACATGTTATACGATCAGGTTACACCGCGCCCAAATGTATGGAAAGCTAACATATCAGCCATTCAGGAATGCGCTGCTAAGACAGATTGGTTAGTAGATACTAGCATATCAGTTGAAGAAGCATGGTCTGTATTTAAAGGTAAATTTAGACTAGTTACGTCCCCGTTCATACCATACCTGGTACCACGAAGACCGAATAATAGTCCACCATGGATAACTAAAACGGTCAGGAAACTCCTTAGAAAAAGGAAGAATCACTGGGATATGTTCATCTCTACTGGCTTAGAACAATACAGATCCAGTTATTGTAAGATTAGGAATGCCTGTAAAGCGTTAATAAGCAAGACTAGACATTCATACGAAAAACAATTGGTTAGGGATTCTAGATATAGTCCGAAACGGTTATTCTCGTATATAAAAAGGCGAACTAAGAGAAGCGATGGAATTCCATCACTTTTGATACGAGATAATCCGTTAATCTTAGCAGAGAATGATGCCGAAAAAACTGAAGCTTTATCGGAATATTTTAGTAAAGTGTTTTCTATCGGTAATGAGGAACGACCAATGATTCATTGTGACCGTGACGGCTCGCTGATGGATCCTGTAGTCATTGAGAAAGATACTGTTTTAAGGCTACTTCAGCATCTCAAACCTGATAAGTCCAGTGGTCCTAATGATATTCATCCTAGGATTATGAAAGCCATATCAGATGAAATTGCTAAACCATTAGCGATACTATTCGACATGTCTCTGAGACAGTCCAGACTTCCTAGAGACTGGAAAGACGCCATAATAAGTCCGGTGTACAAGGCTGGGAGTAGGGATTAGTTAGTAACTACAGTCCCGTTAGCTTAACTAGTGCAGTCGTCGATTGGATAAGTAACTTTCTCCATGACAGGAGACAAAGGGTAAGGGTTAATGGGGCTCTCTCCTTGTGGGTACCTCTAAAAAGTGGGGTTCCCCAAGGTACAATCCTAGGTCCTCTTCTCTTTTTACATTATGTAAATGAATTGCCAACTGTAGCAAAATCATCCGTTCTACTCTTCGCTGATGACATAAAGATTTGGAGACCCATACATAGTATGTCGGATAGAATAGTATTACAGGACGATCTTAGCTATTGGTGGCATGGTTAGACAGGTGGTCACTAGAAGTAAATCCTAATAAGAGTGTAGTGGTACAGTTAAATAACTCTGATGAATCGTATGACTATACACTACGTGGATTCGTGCTACATAAAGTAAGAAACTATAAAGACTTAGGAGTCATATTAAGCAATGATCTCAAAACGACTAGTCACTGTAAGGCTGCTGCTGCAAAAGGCTATAGGGTATTATGGTCAATTCGTAGGTCTTTCCAGTATTTAGATGATGAAATGTTTAGATTACTATACCCGATTTATGTGCGACCACATTTAGAATACGGGATTCAAGCAGCGAGTCCTTGTTTCAAATATGAAGCAGATATGCTAGAAAGAGTCCAACGACGAGCTACTAAGATGGTACAAGATCTAGCTGGTCTAGCTGAGACACCTTAACTTATTTCTGTTATCTTACCGTAGAGTACGTGGTGATCTAATATTGGCTTATCGTATACTGAACGATGACCTTGGTATTAACATGTCTTATCTTTTACTTCCGTCTAGAACCGATCATTTGAGAGGACATTCGAAGAAAGTTCAAAAACCGAGATCAAACTGTTTACGTCTGGAGTTCCGTTTCTCGCACCGAGTAGTGAATTACTGGAATTCCCTACCGGAACACGTAATATCAGCACCGTCTGTTAATATATTCAAAAAGAGATTGGACCTCCACAGTATTACAAACTGCAAGGATTAATATAGGTCGACAGACCTCCTATCCTTATTACTGAAGACTGAAGACTGAAGACTGAATAGGCTGCAGTCAATCGTCGAGAAGTGCCCAACAAAGAACCTGACCATTCTGATGGGAGATTTCAACGCCAAGGTTGGAATGAATAACACCGGATATGAAGACATCATGGGACGACACGGACTGGGAGAAAGAAACGAAAATGGTGAGAGATTTGCAAATCCATGTGCCTTTAATAAGCTGGTCATTGGCGGCACCATATTCCCACATAAACGCATACACAAAACCACATGGACTTCACCGGATCACTCTACACAAAACCAAATCGACCATATTTGCATCAACAAAACGTTCAGGAGGACGATGGAAGACGTGAGAACCAAGAGAGGAGCTGATATAGCATCAGATCATCACTTGCTGGTCGCCAAGATGAAATTGAAACTCAAGAAACACTGGACAACGGGGCGGACAATATCACAAAAGTTCAATACGGCCTTTCTTCAGGATACTAACAAACTCAACAAATTCAAGATAGTCCTCAGCAACAAGTTCCAGGCCTTTCATGATCTACTCAATGGAGAAGGAACTACTGTGGAGAGCAACTGGAAGGGCATCAAAGAGGCAATCACTTCAACATGTCATGAGGTCCTGGGTCATAAGAAGCACCACCACAATGAATGAATCACTGTTGATACACTGGATAAGATTCAAGAAAGGAGGAACAAGAAGGCAGCAATCAATACCAGTCGAACAAGAGCAGAAAAAGCCAAGGCACAAGCTGAATACACAGATGTAAACAAACAAGTGAAGAGGAGCATCAGAACCGACAAACGTAAATATGTGGAAGATTTAGCAACAACGGCGGAAAAGGCTGCAAGAGAAGGAAGCATGAGACAATTGTATGACACGACAAAGAAACTCTCTGGAAATCTCCGCAAACCAGAACGACCAGTGAAAAGCAAGGAAGGCAAGGTAATCACCAACATTGAAGAGCAACAAAACAGGTGGGTAGAACACTTCAAAGAACTCTTGAATCGACCAGCTCCACTGAACCCACCCAACATCGAAGCAGCACCCACGGACCTCCCAATCAGTGTTGGCCCACCAACAATTGAAGAAATCAGCATGGCCATCAGACAACATTCCAGCAGAGGCACTAAAAGCAGACGTAGCGGCGACTGCAAGGATACTCCACATTCTCTTCAATAAGATTTGGGATGAGGAACAAGTACCAAAAGACTGGAAAGAAGGACTTCTGATCAGAATACCGAAGAAAGGCGATCTCAGCAAGTGTGATAACTACAGGGGCATCACTCTTCTCTCAATACCGGGAAAAGTCTTCAACAGGGTATTGTTAAACCGGATGAGGGACTGCGTAGACGCCCAACTTCGTGACCAACAGGCAGGATTCCGTAAGTATAGATCGTGTACAGACCGAATCGCAACTCTACGGATCATTGTGGAACAATCAATTGAATGGAATTCATCACTCTACATCAACTTCATTGACTACGAAAAGGCATTTGACAGCGTGAACAGAACAACACTATGGAAACTTCTTCGACACTACGGCGTGCCTCAGAAGATAGTCAATATCATACAGAGTTCATATGATGGATTACACTGCAAAATCGTGTATGGAGGACAGTTGACAAAGTCGTTCGAAGTGAAGACCGGTATTAGGCAAGGTTGCTTAATAATAATAATAATTTATTCTCAAATAACAGTTTGTTACATGAGGCATGCCAGTTTACTGGCAAGATCAAATCGATGCAAATGATACAATATACACTGTTTTAAACTACATAGCTGGGTTGATAATTTATAAGACATGAATGTAGATTGTTTTAATCAGTACTACAGTTGGCGCGCTTCACGACAGTTGCGTTGCGAATGTGCGACTGATGGTCAAGGATAGGTCCATTGAAGGTATGAGCTTCTAGAAATCGCAACCTTATGTCCCTTTGGGATATCCAAGGCTTTAAGGATAGTGCAGGATGAAGTAACCCGTTCCATATCTCAAGGGGGCTGAAAGAGGGAGCAAGTAAAAGAAAACACGAGAGGCCGAGTAGCCATTATTCATGAAGGAATGTTTAAGGTATGATTACTCAGTCTAATTTTCTTTTGTTAAGGTATTTGTTAAGAAAGAGCATTTTAATAGGTTAAAGAAAATAAGCTTTAGCAAGGTGTGAGTGGACATATGTTGTATATACAACTGACAAATGGTGGCGATTCGGAAAAGAGCTGAGAGTATAAGATTGTGTCATTATAAAATAAAATACAGTGCTAGAAACAGTATTGTGATATACAACTGGCTATCTTCCTTTCATTATCGAAGCTATTAGAGCCCCTTTCGTTTTTTTTATTTGTTTTTTTCCAGGTTTTATAGGGTCTTGAGTAGGCTTCGTATATTAGCGAATTGTCTAGTTTGCTTGTAATAGGATTTCCGGGTAGGAAGTGAAACCAATTCAACGTTCGTAACACGATTTAAAGAGGTATTTTGCATGATAAATCAGCTTCAATACCATAAGTTCGTGACATCCCACTAAACCATAAGGAGCAGTAATTAAACAAAATGTTCAGCCCTACAGACATGGGTGGATTGAATTTATCTCCCCACCATCAGGTTTGCTGGTCAGTAACGCCACCCTCCCTCCTTTTGTGATGTTAGGCTCTCTTACGTTTGTGGTAAGTATGAATACTGCTTTAATCAAAGCCCATAGTTGGAATACACTGTCTCTACTAGGTCCATGTTACAAGCAAATCAGATAGTTAAAAGGTTTGTTTTATGGATTGGATGTCCACATAGTATATCACACTGCTATGAAGATAACTAATGGTTTAAAGAAGTAAGGACTAATAGCAAATCAAAAGATATGAGAGGGTAGAAAATTGTAGAAAAGAAAAGATTTTAGGGTGAGAAAAATAAAACATTGAGAAACTCACAAGGCTTTGTGGCTAAATTTTGAACTTTGAATGATCGGCATTAGTAGATCAGCATCCATAAGATTGAGCTATCTGTCTACTTGCAGTAGAAAAAAAAGGCATGACTTTTAGTTAGAATAATGTACATTTAACCTGCAGAGATTTGGGGACTAAAAGCTAGGGTTAGGAGCATGAAGTCGTGATTAATAAACAATGAATAATAGGAAAGGATAAGCCAGATATTCTGTGATTTGGTTATATTCAGATTAGTAACAGTCGAACTTGTTATAATTTTGTTCTTTCTAGATACTAGACGGTCCGTAATAAAGTGCCTCATTGGTGGGCGGGAGTTCAAGGAAATGTTGAAGCTCTTTGGAGTCTAGAAATAGGGTTATTAGCTTTTTGAATTTGGTAAACGTATCACAGTTGCGGATAGGCATTGGCAGCCCGTTCCACAATAAACTGTACCGTACTGTAAAGAACTTACAACGCATTTGTTTTTGGTGTTTTACGGTAAGTAGTGTATATGCGTTGTTTCTAAGTCTATAGGCTGGGTCGTGGGTCATAGTCGGGCAGGAGGTTAGAAAGGAGAGCCCATATATCGCTTTGTGGAGAAATATTAAATTGTTCTTTAGCCTACGGTGCCATAAAGGTTCTAAAGATAGATGCTTACATCTGTCTGTGTAATCGAGATTCGAGTTACATCCTAGTAGTTGACGTGTGAAACGTCTTTGAGCATCTTCTACTCTTATCTTGTCTGCGATATTCATATTAGAGAAGACAAAAGAGCAGTATTCAAGGGAGGGTCGTACACATATTTTGTAGAGAGTAAGTTTACCCTCTGTTGTGAAAAAGTTTTTCATTATAAAACCAATTAGCCGTCTAGATTTAGAAATAATAGAGGAGGCATGTTCAGCAAAGTTTGGGCTTCCTGTGTAATTAATTCCTAAATCATGTACTGATTCGAGTGTTTGAACTATACATTCATTTAAGTGAAGTCGCGGTTTATAGGGATGCTTTCCAAAGTGCATGATCCCGCACTTGTTGAGGTTAAATGGTAATTGCCATTTTTCACTCCAGATAGTTAAGTTATTGAGGTCCTTTTGGATCTGGAATACACTTTCGCTTAGTGTTTCAGGCTTATAGCTGTATACTATTTTGAGATCATCAGCATATAAGTACGGTTTCCCAAATTCTATGGTGTTACATATATCGTTTATATACATACGAAACAAAAGTGGCCCTAATACGCTTCCTTGGATGACTCCACTGGTGATTGGTCTAGGGGACGAGAGACAGTCACTGTACTTTACCATTTGTTTACGTTCTGTTAAGAACGAAGCAAACCATGAGTACAGTGGGTTGTGTATTCCAAAGGACTTTAGTTTGACGAGTAGCCTTTTGTGTGGGACCTTATCAAAGGCTTTCTTAAAGTCTAAGAATAGGACTGATACAAGGAGTCCGCTGTCTCGTTTCAGAATTATATCATTCAGGTAGTCTACTAGGCATGTATCGCATGATCTTGACCTAAGAAATCCATGCTGGGAGGTCGAGAAGAGATTGTTAGTTAATAGATGTTGGACTACAGCCGCCTTAACTATTTCCATCACTCTGGATACCACTGAAGTTTTGTTTATAGGCCGGTAATTTTCCTGTTTTAATTTTGGGAATGATATGTGTAGTTTTCCAGGCAGTAGGGTAACACGCTGAAGAGAGTGATATCGCGAATAGTTTGAGAAGCAAAACACACATATCGTCACCTCCACGTTTTAGCATGCTAGATGGAATACCATCTGGTCCCTCAGTGTAGGAGTGTTTCAATGTACTGATTGCCTTGGAGATATTTTGTACACTGAATTCTACATTAGTGATTTCACAAGGAGTTACTGGGATTGGTTCTGAATCATTAAATGGTCTTTCGTTAGTTAGTGAGGAACAAAAATGTTCACTAAATAATTCTGTGATAAGTTTGGGATCTTCGTATACTTGTTTGCCTTTAATGAATATACTCCCTCTCGATTTAGAGCGTTTAAGTTTATTTTGGAGTAGTATGGTGAGTGCAGAGGAGTTATTATTAAGTTCAACTGCACGTTTTTCCTGTGCTACTGCTTTTTGTTTACTTATTGCCTCTGTTCGGACAAGTATTTCTGTCATCGTTACTAAAGAGGAGAAGTCATTTAAGTTGTGGGATCTAGTACAATGTCTTCGAAGACGTCTTCTTGTACTGACCGCTATATAGAGATCTCTGGAGAATGTAGGTCTACAATATTCTAAAGGTGCGATGTTGTTGATGATACTTTTGATGTTTTGATAAAATATATTGGTTAATGTGTCGGTATTGTCTGAGGTAAAGAAAGTTCTCCAATCAGTGCTTCTTAGGTAATTGTGGAAGTTATTCCAATCAACCTTGCGGTAGTTTCTACGAAGTGTTACGGTTTTACTTCTATCGGTTGTGGTTTTTACATTAAGGCTGCATATGACAATGTTATGATCACTACCTGGGAACTTTTTTCCAATATACAAAGTATTGGGGATGAGGCCACTGGTAAAGACTAAGTCTAAGATGTTTTGATGTCTGGTAGGGCTATCGACATACTGAGTCCATTGTCCAAGCTCTAGACATTCAATAAATGATTCATGACGTCTCGGCGCTTTGACTGGCAGCCAAGAAATTTCGGGCATATTGAAGTCACCACAAATGAGCTTGCCTGTGAATGAGAGGGATGATGCTAGCGTGAATACCTCCGATAATACTGCTATTTCATCTATTGATGCGTTAGGTTGACGATAAACACAGCCGAGCAGTAAGGTAACGGAATTCGACGGCTTTAATACAATCCACACCGAATCCTTCAGTTTGTTTAGTTCAGGCATATCACATAGCAGTGAGTTCAGGCTAGAGTGAGCGTAAATAAGGCATCCTCCGCCTCGTCCATTCAATCTATCGCTTCTATATAGGGAATAGTTATCTAGAGATATGCTTCGGTCGGAAATATTACTGTTAGTCCATGCTTCAGATATCATAATAACTGATGGTTGATATATGGATACAAACAGGGCTAAATCCGTCTTTTTGTTGCAGATCGATCGAGCGTTGATAAGACAGATATTAAGCAAGTGGCCTACTAAGTTAAAATGGGTGAGGGTATTTCGGATAAAGTCGTCGTAACCCTCGCGAGTGTAAGATGAGTTTGATGTGAGGGATTGGATGTTCTTCATTAGCTCTGTATTTTGATAGTTAAACTTATTGGGAGATGTATCAAATGAGCTGGTGAAGTTGATTGAGGAGTTTACCCAGGAGGAAAGGGTGGGAGTACTCTGTGATGGAAACTGTACGGAGGAAACAAATTTATGTTTTGCATGTGGTTTGAAATAACCTGGGCTATATGCTTCAACAGAGGTGTCACTAGGGGTCTTATTCCAAAAAAAATCTTGTACAGGCCTACTGTGAAGTGTATGGTTATTTACAAAATAGTCTTGATGGTTAGACTCGTAGCCCCTATTATGGCTATTTACGTTAGCGCGAGAGGGGCCTGCTACGCGTAACTGGGAGGAGTTGCGACTGTTGTTATACATGGAAGCCGTTGTTATGTGATGGGTTGGTACTAAAGGGTATGAGAAGTTTTCTTTTTGAGAGTAATTACAGTTGCGATCCTGGGGAATGTAGGTAGGGTGTGGAGTGAGAAACCTATTATTACCGTTCTTATTTATGGTTTTAGGCTTCAGGGGGTGATTTGGGTGGCCAGTTCTCTGGTAGTTTTCGTTAGTCTGCGTGTAAGAAGGCTTGCTATGTTGAAGCCCACCACCCTTTTTGCAACTTGGAGGTGTTGAAGGCAAGTTATACGATAGCAGCGGGGAGAACCTGTTCACTGTTCTTGGGATACCTATAGAGCAGTTGGGTTCAATCTTACGTGTTTCCCTATTCGGTATCATGAGTTTTGTCTTCCCACCCTTTATTTTCAGAGCAGGATTCTTTCGTTGTCTTTGTGAGATGAACTTACGTTCATTCAAGTCTACTTGTGGAATATCTTTAGGAGGACAAATTTTCAAGTGTATAGGTTTAGTTGGATGTGTGTTGTTACACGACTCACATTTTAGTACATTACTGAACGAACAGCTGGGATTAGTCATGTCGTTATGGTTTTTGGTGTCAGTTGGGGTCCGTATCTTATCCAAAGGTTTCTGATCTGTAGACTCACCTAGATCAACAGAGTGATCAGCCGTATGTGGAGTGGTGTCATGCTTATTGTTCGTGTGTTTTAAACTATTTGCTGTGTTGCAAACTGCCTCTGGCTGATTATTAACTGTAACACTCCCATTCAATTCTATCGCTTCGCGTCTTCTTACACGACGTTGACAGGGCGTAAGGTCTGGAGTGACTTTTATATTTTTGTATGGAATTAGTGAGCTAATGTTTTTGCTCAAATCAATAAACTGCTTAGCATCGTTACAACAGCCAAACATAAACAAAAGGGGGCAAGTTGATCTGTCTGACTTTTTTCTAAGGCGGATGACTTTGCAGTTAACGTTCGGCATACCGCATGCTCTAAGGCAAATATTTCTTAACTTAGATGGGTGTGTGCGGTCGGGGAGGTTATACACAACTGCATTGAAGGAGGACATTACTCTCTTCGTCACTTCTTCAGCCACAAACTCCAAAATACACTCAGCTTTAGTGAGTTGCTCAAGATTTCTGTCTGTATCAAGGCCCCATATATGAGTGAGGGGTGCTAATTGCTCAAGTTTGCCGTTAATTTCGGATAGAGAGTTTTGTAGCTGTCGGATGTCATTACTATATCTATCAGTATTTTGGTGCGTATGAGGTGGACCGTTGGACTCTTTAGTTTTTGAAAATTTAGACTTAGGCCTTGGTAGCACATACTGTCTAGTAGACTGTGCTGACTTTTCAATGCACGTAGGTATAGTGTCTTGTATGTCAACCAGTCTTACCGTTGGCATACTGCACGTAAAGATAGAGGGGCTGCGACATGGAGAATCTGGTGACGATAGAGACATTTGTGCACAATACACATATTTTTCAGTAGTTAAAGGTTCGACATTGTCAAGCACTGAGTCGTCAGTTGTAGGGGTTACAGATTTGGACCTTTTATTTGGCTTAGAATTTGGTGAAATTCCTCTTTTACTGGAGTTATTGCACATGATATGAAAATAAGTGAGCACAGTGCTCGTTAAATTAAATATAATATCTGAGTATTAGTTGTTATTAAGTATTAACCTGGTTAATACTAGGATTAGAGACTGTGAGTATATAATAAATTGCAGACCTATTTACGACTTAAGTCCGCAATAGGTACAATACGAACTGGTAATTGTCCGTCGAATAAAAATAAGTTTTTTCTTATGTTTCGAGGTGAGATGTTCCCGATGTACAGGATAGGATGATAATCACAGTATAATACACCCTACAAAAGAGCAAGTCGAAGAATTCCTAAACCGCATGAAAAAAATATTACCACTTTCTCTGTCTCCTGGTGATCGACTGGATCATGAAGATGTCAACATCTGAAGGGTAGCACGGGATACAATGGACATCTAGGATGCAGTTGGACGATCTATACTTCGCAGATGATCTGGCCCTTCTATCCCAAACGCAACAACAAATGCAGGAGAAGACGAACAGTGTAGCAGCAGCCTCAGCAGCAGTAGGTCTCAATATGCACAAAGAGAAAAGCAAGGTTCTCCGATACAACACAGAATGCACCAATCCAATCACAATTGACGGAGAAGATTTGGAAGATGTAAAAACCTTTACATATCTGGGCAGCATCATTGATGAACAGGGTGGATCTGATGCAGATGTGAAGGCGCGGATCGGCAAAGCAAGAGCAGCATATTTACAACTGAGGAACATCTGGAACTCAAAGCAACTGTCAACCAAAACCAAAGTCAGGATTTTCAATACAAATTTCAAGACAGTTCTACTGAATGGGGCAGAAACTTGGAGAACTACGAAAGCAATCATCCAGAAAATACAGTTGTTTATTAACAATTGTCTACGCAAAATACTTCGGGTCTGTTGGCCGAACACTATTAGCAACAACGTACTGTGGGAGAGAATAAACCAGATCCCAGCGGAGGAAGAAATCAGGAGGAAGTATTGGAAGGGTTATAGAACACACATTGAGGAAAGCACCCAACTGCGTCACAAGACAAGCACTGACATGGAATCCTGAAGGCCAAAGGAAAAGAGGAAGACCAAAGAACACATCACTCCGGGAAATGGAGATAGACGTGAGAAAAATGAACAAGAATTGGATGGAACTAGAAGAGAAGGCGCATGATAGAGTGGGTTGGAGAATGCTGGTCCGTACTGTCACAATTTGATCGTTGCACTGTCGATCCTTAAGGAATTTGTTCTGTTAATCTCAAAGATGTTCGTTTACCGAATCTTTCATAAGCTTCAGCAACACTCTATTGAAATCGTTAATTGGTAGCAATAGTAATGTGATTATTCTGTAGTCTTTATACTTGCTGAGCTCTCTTACTTAGTATTGTGATGAGATATCATTCTTTCCAGTCCATCGGCACTTGTTCTCTTTGACAGCATCTCCCCTAAATCCAATCTCTTCTGTTTGGCTTGGGTCAAATAGGGTTCGCTTATTCCTAGTATCACCAAATGGCACCTCCTACTTCCCATAGCTAATTAACTGTCCTTTCTCGTCTCCCACATTTCCGAATATCCTATGTACCTATATTAATTGCGCATCTGGTACATCGACCTCTTGATTGTTGAAGAAGTTCGGCTTTTACCTTTGGCGTCACAATTTTTCTGAAGGAAGATCCTTGAATACCCAGGTCATTGTTTAAACGGTCTGAATTAGTTTTTTCTGGTTAACAATTTTTAGTAAGGTAGATTTTTACGTGATTAGGTTCCAGACCCCATGTTCAACCCTCCTTTTTTATCCGAAATTGAGACCAGTGGTAAACCTAGGAGAGCTACAAGCAGATATATATTTAGAATGAGTAAACCAAAATTTGAGGAATCTATCCACATAGCTATTTTCGAAACCTAAGGATGTGAAATTTTTTAGTCAGTACGACGATTCAGTTTGAAAACATAGCGTCATTGAGGGGTTATCGTTTAGGAACGTGTATTCCATCAGAAAAGTGACCGAAAATTCAGCTACATCATTATTGTATAAAGTCAATGAAACGTCATAACAACGAAACAATTTCAGAATCTCAGAAGAGTGAAACAATTTTAACCGATTTTCCTAACCAATGAAATTATTCTAAACGAAGTTTGTCATTTTGGAGCCAACTAAGATTTGATTAGATATCATAATAATAATGTATTTCTGCATGAGCAGGTACACGCCATTTTTACAGGAATGATCTACAAATCACAACATTTGTTGGCGCACAGCATGCTTTCCAACTTATGAAGTTTATAGTTGTTATAAAGTAGACTCGTAGAGCACTTGCCGTAAACCATGACATTGAGAAGACGCGCACATCAAGTTTGTTCCGGACGCCAGAAGTCCCATAGCTGTGCCTTCAGAGAAAGATTTCGAAGAAGAAAAAAGAGAAACAGAAAAGCAGCAAAACACTTGGGTATGAACGCCAAACGTTGCTTAACATTGTGTAATAGAAAAGTCAGGGGTATATTAATAATAATAATAAATTTCTGCGTGTGCAGGTACACACCGTTTTTACAGGCATGATCTAAAAATTACAACATTTGTTGGTTCGCAAAATGCTTCCCAACTTATTAAGTTTATAGTTGTTATAAAGTGAAATCGTAGAGCGCTTGCTGTAAACTATGACCTTGGGAGGACGCGGGCAGCGCTCCAGGGGTATCGCGACACATTTTTGCGCTACTTTTTCATTTCTGCTTTATGCACAACCAAAATTCGAAATTAATTATGAATAAATTTGAAAGTCTATTTTCCGTTTTTATAATTAAATGAAAAGGGGTTTTTTCATTTTGCGTTACATGGTATCGCGAAGTCCTTGGAAATTCATTATTCAGGTGCTGGTATAATAGTTTTTTAGTGTTTGCATCGTAGACTAGCTCTTATTTCTACTGAGGTATACACAGATGGTAGACAAATCTTTTATTTTTATATGAAATCGCATGATTGAGGCATATATCGTCATAAAATTGTATTGTCGTCAAGGCTACCAAAACTGCGTTACAACTAACGATACCATGGTAAGATTTATCGTTTTTCCCGTCTTTATCACAATTTCGGCTGATTTTCACTGTTTTGTCCGACTTTCATGGCAGAAATAGGTTGATAGTGAAAACATTAGGTGTCCGAGTGTTGTAAATATTATGTATATGCTATAGATGATAATAACACATACCAAGATGTTAATATCACCTTCTACAGTTAGATATATTAGCCACTAGATGATTATATTGCAGGAAATAAATCATAATCATGCGGAAGAGGTATAATTATGTGGAGATTTTACCAGAGACCAAGCTAAGATAGCATTACTACCTCTCGTGTAGATCTACACAAGTATTTGTCTGTACCAAAGCATGTCATTGAGATATGGTTGTGACTTTTTTTCTTTTTTTAATTCAGAACTCACGGGAGGACTACCTGAATTCTCAATAGCCGTGCAATTGTTTTGATGTTCTACCTACATTTCAATAAACATTATTTTTCAAACAGCTTACTTTATTACTTACATGGGAAACTGTTGAAGTGTTGACAATGTGTGTTTGAGTTTCAGTGAACTTTTGATTAAATGCACATTCCTTATAAATAATACATCACTTGCGCCTTCTTTTGCAGATGATTTCAAATAACAATGAATTAGCAATTGCATTGGATATGCAAAACAATCGATGCTTAAGCTTCTGCTCTAGTGTTGTACAATAATACGCTTTACCTTTTAAATAAAAATTTTTAAAAATATGCCGGTTCTCCACTGTATTGCAGATTTATTTTGGTCTGTTGTTGAAAATAAAGGCGAACATAGGAGACCTTTGGGGTTATGTCAATGGATGGAAAATAGGTAGTTCTGTGTGTATTTAGGCGAAAAGTAGACAATTCAGCGGACATTTAGGCGATAAGTCGATAATTTGTCGACAAAAAGGTGAAAATGGGGAAAATCCGCATTATTTCCCCCGGACAGGCGAAAAAGGCGACATTCTGATGCGTTTTTTACTTTCGCTACCAAAGCATTTACCCCCTTATTTCCCCTTTTTGGGTTGTCTGGGGAGCTACAATGTTTTGGCTGTCGGTATTATTGCAAAAATACCTAATGGCAGAAATAAGTACTGATATAAAGCTGTCACGAGAAAGCACTGAAAAGTGCGACTCGATAGTCAAGATATCTTGATCTAAG